TTTTTTTTTGCATCATCTTTTGCCTTCCTTTTTTTTGTTTTTTTGTTATTGGGTAATTTTTGAGATGCTGATCCATTTCATCTACGCCATAAGAGAATTCCGATAACAAACTTTCATTACTCCCAAAATCATTTGCAGAAATTTCAGACTCACTATCTGAGTCAATATCAGAATTATTTTCTGTTATAAGCCTCGCATAATCACTCATTTGCCTTCTATTTTAAGCACCAAATTTAAAAGAAATAATGTTCGTAGTTTGCTGTACACCGATCTGGTAAAAAGAAAATTCCCGCCTTATTTAGTTGTGATGGGCTCACATGTCTTTTCATTAACATGTCCTTTAGGGTTCTTTTGGGGCCAAGATTAATGGCAACTCTTTTTCAACCAAAACCCAAGAAGTGAAACGTGAAGGAAAGGTGCAAATTAGATAGCTTTTAAATATCAGAAGTTTAAGTAAGCAGGGTGGCAATTTGGGGAATGTTTTGTTAGAGATTGATACAATCGTGAAGTGACAGCCAACAGAGGTTATCTCGAAGATAGAGCCATTAGGTCAAGTGCATACCATTGCACTCAAGTAAAGACGCAACTTCCTTAGTATCGGATCAACGATTAAATTAAGGTAGGATTGACTATTTAATATTAGGACTTGCGTTATTATTGGAATTGAGATAAGGCGGGTTAGATATTGATAGTGGTCCGAGTTACTTCTTTCGGTATTACTTGTATTGTGCGTTTGTTCATCGCAGATTCTCACATACATAATTATTATCTAATCTGTTAAAGGTTTAAGTTTAAGATCTTAATAAAGTCATATTAAGATCATGGAAACTTCTCATTCTTTAGTTGACCCTACACCTCTAGCTCACGCAGATAATCTAAGAGAAGGGCACCCTAGGGGGGGGGGCACTTTCACATAGTCTAAAAAAATGCAGTAAAACCTAACTTTGAAACCAGTTTAGACATTTTTTTTTGTAATCCTAACTTTATTCCACTATTATAGACATCTTTTAGAAACATGATACGCTAAACGAGCAAAAAATACAGGCAAATCAGAGGATTAGAGTAGAAAAAGTTTTGCTCCTGCGCCACTCGGGCTAATTAGGGAAGTGCCATTTCAAGTGCCCGAAGGGTTTTTCGGGCAAAACTGGGAAGTGGTTAAACGCGATTATCAAAGCAATGCAGGATTCTAGACATAACATTGAACAAAACATAGCAGCTATACAAATTTGAAAGTAAAAACATATAGGAAAGAATAGAATTATAAAAATTGGAACCTACATTTTCTTTCTTGAACTGTCCCTCTTGCCTGAGGAATCGCACGCTTTTGTCCACTAATCCAATGCCGCACACTGAGGCGGGACTGGCCGACAACAACATAGTCGCCTCTGTACTGGGATATTGCTGTTCGTGGCGAAAATGCAGATTCACCTGGAAGTGAAATACTTTATTAGTATTAGTGATGAGTATTGTATCCTGCTTTGTTTTCAAAATTAAAAACCTTTTTATTCTATTACTATAAGAAACCATATAATTTCGTTCGAAGAATTTAAGCGGTTGGTCATTTTAGATCAAAGTCTAAATTTGAGGTGTTCAAATCACAAGGAAAAAGATGTACTTATGTATTATACACTGGCGTAACTAGTTTTAAGTGGGCCTTGAATCGAAATTCCTTCGTGGCCCTTTATTAAATACGATAGCCTTGTTAGTGGAACTGTTGTTACACATGTTGGGGCCCCTGTAGCTATCATTGATACTGTCAATACGGCGTAGCTACGCCCCTGGTATTATACCAACGACCAATTTAGTCCAATCAAAAGTTATCGTCAAGTCAAAAGATGTCGCCAAATGCTATCAGCATATGCGCGAACAGGATTATTGTATGATATTTCTCCATGCCCTGAAGCAGTTTTCTTCTACTGGCTACATGTAGTGGCATTTAGTATGATACGTAATTATCGAAAAAGATTTCGAGAAGTACACGACAGTATGTTTAAACAATAAAGCAATCAATAAATTTAAGAAATATTTGCTTTATTGATAACCAACAGGCAATTAATTTTCATTAAAAAAATTGTTTTTCATATTCAGCTTTGCGTGTTTTAGCAAAAAGTGGCTTAAAATACGTTATCTATTACCTATTACTATACTATGGTGCAAAGTGATAGGAACAATTATCTTATTCACTAAATGATAAATATGAATAAATAATTACACATACCAACCATTTATATTTATTTTATCTAAATAAATAACAATAAAAAGAATGTTGTAAAAAATTTATTATTTTAATACGATGACATACATTTTCACTAATATGCTACAGGAGCAATATGATACGAAAGAGAATTTTTTCTTCTCAAATTATAGGGACGTTATATACGAATTGCACTTTATAGTGTTTTAGTGCGGTATTTTGCCATGGATTTCTCAAGATTTAGAGCCCATCGGGTGGCAAATGATACCCTACATCACAAATGACAGTCTTTATCAGCTTTCGGGTGATATTGAACATTTGGCCATTTTTTTCAACACATGTTGCGCACCATTATACTCAAACGTTATATTAAAGAGAACGATCCGAGATACCGGGCAACCAGGTGACGGTTATACATTTGCGTGGAATCTTAGAGAAAGATATATTATACACTTATCAGCACAGCAACGCTTGTGGAGGGGTAAGTGAGTTAGTCTCTTAGTTCATTTAGTTTCGGTTTCGCTTTCGAAGGAGAAGGAAGAGAAAATGACGTCACATCTCCATTATATCAAGTCCGTCTTTCTACCGGGAGCCACATCTCGATGGAACGAGGAGAGAAGGGATGAATTCCTTCAATAGAAGGATTAAAGAGAATATTATTTTTAACTCACCAGTCAAGTGCTTCTTTTTTAAGTAGAGAAACCTAGCCATTTTTGGGTGTTTTTTGTAGAATGAACTGATGCATTGTCTTGTTGAAAATTGTAATCAAGATCAGCAATTCATTTTCCTCATTCAACAAAAAATATTCTAAAAGCAGGAAATATTTATACATATTTTTACGTTCCCTTCAAAATCAATTTACCTTTTGTAGAAAACGCTCATCACACCGCAATGGAAGCTCCGTTTTATTGAAGAGTGGATTCATTCATACTGACAGATTTTTCGAAGATTGCGCCAATAAAAACGAGCGTCATTCACAGAAACTCAACTTCTTTTCGTCACTAAAGCTTATTTTTGACCTCTTCTCTTTTTTTGCTTCATATGTTTCTGTGCCAATCAGATATCGGAGCTTTTTTATTGTGTTAAGTTTTAACCTTTGCACACCAACGCATGTTTTTATATTAAAGAAATTCAGACCGTTTTATTGCTCTTTTAATTGCCTATGTTGAATCTGGCTTGCATTATTCTTTGTTGCCATTTTTATTTTTTGAAATCGTGCGAAAGATCAAGAGCTTGGTTCATTGTAAGGTATAAGGACGTAGTGAATGCTCTCAGTTAATACTCTACAGAGAGAAGATGTGTGTTGTCAGAGCTGTGCAAGGATATACCTGCCTATGATATCATGCGCATCGTTGCATTGTGCTGCTACTTATTAAGAATTGAAGGAGTCAGTTAGCTTGGAAGGTACTGTTACAACTATTCGTGTCGGTCTAACCTTTTAACGAAACTATGTAATCGCTTGTGTACAGTGGTATCGCGAATATAAATGCTTTATATCTGGCACAATAGTTAGATATTTTTATTAGAATTTTGAAGATTTTAAATTGAGTTGGTGGAATAATAGAAAAATTGTTCTAACTACTCTGAATATTTCTTCATTTAGTATACCATGTATTTGGATAATGAATTAACTATCTAAATGTTTTGATTTATACCTCAGTACATATAAAAAAACCTTAATATATACACATTTATTGTTGTTACCAATGCTCCCTCTCTGACATTGTCAGATAGAGGTCCACGAAATTCATCGCGGCAAAGGGCTAGATGTACGTCTGTCGTTAGCCGTAGCTTTGAGCACCATGCAGGGGTGACAGTACGATTTGACACGGTTCCACTCCAATTTTGAGAGAGAACACCCTGGACGTAGTCAAGAGCTTCCCACCTCTCTTTCCCTTCTACCAACCTCACGAGAGGACTTGCGACTCGACTGCTATTTAGAGTACCCCCATGCCACAAAGGTACTATACATTTACAAACATCCATGCCTTCTCCGGGATTCCAACCCAGGCCTTATGACATAGCAGTCAGCGTCACTAACCACTGCACCGGCGGCCTATACATTTATTGGCTAAGTAATTATATACTAAATTGAAATTCGGGGAAGGTAGGTGAAATGAATTACCTTGTTCAGCAGGCAGCGGGAAATGCGGAACATTCTGGAATCTGCAACTATCTCTCCATCCTCTCTGACGTAGAAGACTAAAAGGCGTGCCAATGGAGCCATAGTAGCTCGTGGGTCGAAGCTCAAAAGGAATTCGCCTACTTCAGGCTCTTTCTTAGTATCGTTGGTACTTGTAGTGGGTGTGGATGTGTAGCGGCGGTGAGGCGAGGCGGTAGGACGCTCCAGATCATAACGCGCGGGATCTTCTTCCTTCGAGTAAAAGGCTCTCTGATGTGAACCCTGCTGTACAATACGACCACGAGACAGAACCTAGAAAAAGATCATTCGTATTATTAAAATATATTTAATTGAAATCAGCAATTTGATATCTTTATTCTAATTTGCCCTCAACCGTAACACAGTTTGATGTTGAGGTTGCTTTGAGCAATGTTTTTCAATTCATATGATCAGTTCCCACTATTTTTATCTCTATATATCTTGTTCAAATTTTTAATCGTTAATAAAATACTTCTTACTTATCCACTCAAGTTCAAATACATTGTTTTAAACTTGTAGTGAATGACACTTGATATTAATACAGTTTTTTCAAATATTAATTCATTAATTAATGAATAATTAGTAGCACACACAAACAAAAATAATAGTCCAATACCATATATAAAAAGGATAATCGCTCGTTGTGTCCTTGTAGTGCAGTGGGTAGCGCGTTGGACTTCTAACCCAAAGGTCGTGGGTTCAAATCCCACGAAGGATAGCCAAATTTGTGAGAATGTGATTTCTTTTTACAATGCTATTTTATTGAAATAATGAAGTTTAATTAATGAATAAATAGTAAAACAAACAAAAAGAATAGTCCAACACCACATATCGTGGATGGCGTGTCATGTGAGTTCAAGCCCTGTATTACTAAAGACCCGCCGTGTAGGGGAGCGATGCTCGTTAAATCTGTCGAGGGCTCAAACGTCCTCCCGTTGGTGTGGTGTGGTAGTTAGGAAAAGGGGTGCCATCTCAGGTGCCATCCTCGTCACTTGACTATGGTTCAAAACTACGAGGTCCGTCTCCAAAAGCCCTCGTGTGACGTTAATATTAACTCACTCACTCACCCAACATCCCATATTGAAAGGAAAATGAAAAATTGCAAGGAAAATCGCTTTCTATTTTGTCACTTAATATTGTGATTCTGTCATATGTATATACATATTTATATTAAGTGTAACTATTTAATAAAAAGTAACTAAAATAAAAATTTTCTTTGTTTGCCTAAGTAGGAACTGACTTAATTATTTTTCAATTCCTACTATTAGCTCACACACACACACACACACACACAATCTCTCTCTCTCTATATATATTTATTTATCTTGGTGGAATTTTCAATCGTTAATAAAATACATTTTAAAGCGCTCAATTGAGCTGAAATTTTATATATAGGTTTATTTTGGATGACAATACAATACTATAATAATAATTAATAAAAATTTTAATTCATTAAAACTAATTATTTAAAGAATTACAAATACAACCACATTGACATTATTTTTGGCCACTTAGCGACCCTTTTGGCGACTTGTGTCAAAACTTCAAAAGGTTTTTTTTTTTCACGTGTTAAAGTATTCAGTTGAACTTAAATTTATATATACGTTTGTTTTGGGTGACAATACGATACTTTAATGATAATGAATAAAAATTAGTTACCACTTAATGTTGTGATTCTGTCCTATGTATATACACATATTTATATTAATTGTAACTATTTAATGAAAAGTAGCTAAAATTAAATTTTTCTTTATTGATCTAAGTACTAATTGACTTATATATAAATTTTTTTTATATTACTTGTTTATATATTACTTCATTGTTTATCAGAGCTCGCGAGTATTCTTTCAGTAACTATGACGGTGCGCGTGTTATTGAAACCACTCTTGGAAAATTTGGCGACATTTCTGTAGTAAAAGAATAACAACTTACAAAGCGTGAAGCTTTAATAAAAGTTCATACATGTTTGTTCAGTTTCTTATAAAGTTTTGATTCATTTTAAGCATTGCAAAGTTTTCAGTGAGGTTTTCCATCTTTCTGTCACAGTGATTTTTTTCTCTGATAAAGATTTCAATGCAATAGATTTAAAAATAATTTCTGTATCATGTATAAATACTGCAGCTGTGGTAAAAGTGTGGCTATCGTTTGCGAATCAATATCCGTTTACAATTCAAATATGGTAATTATACATATGAAAAATGTCTGTTTTTAAAACTAAAACTATCTGGCGTGTTAACTTGGTATTTGGGCTTTTGAAGAAAGATATTGCATTCTTAAAACAATTATATCGAGTGTTTTTTGGTTAAAACATAACACCCCAAAATTTCATTTTTAGAACTTTAGCTTAAGAAGAAAACATGAGAAAAAAATATCTTAGTAATATTGAATTTAACATTTCTATCATTATACAACGTGTATTTTAGATAGAAATATTAATGACGGTTACATTTTCTTAAAATGATGCATGCTTTATACGAAACATATAATTTTTCAGGGATGAATTGCGATTTAGCTTCAGACTTTACACAATGGTTCGTCAATTTACCTGGTGGTAAAATTTAATGGAATCTCCTTTTTCGGCAGTGTATCTGATTTTGACTCCTTGTCTCTTCTCGCATTCCATTTCCTGAGACAAGGGCTGAATTTGAAGATAGCTGTCAGAAGGGGAGTACCACGCTTTAAGATCTAGGGAGGCCGTAGGCTTCACAATCTTTTGGCGCCAGTATAAATCGTGGTAACCAACTTCATCATAGTTAGTAGCCGTCGCCTGTGAGAAAAAGTACAAATCATGATTACTTTATCTTAAACGAAAAAAAAATTGTTTACTTAATCAGTATGTATTTGTCTAACTTCATTCATTCCAATAATGCGATCACATTCGAAGTTGTCCAATTGTCTATAAGGTCACCCAGTGGCGTAACGTACTCCCCAAGAAACCACAGGGGGCCCAGGACTCTAAGGGACCAAAGTCAAACTGACTCCAAGTACGTATTTAACCAATTGAGGCCCAAAACCTGACTTTGCAGGGGGGCTCTAATGTTCTTCGTTACGCCACTGAGATCACCTATAATGGCATTGTCATTTTGTCTTCAGAAACTGCAATGTCGATATATACTCTCAAAGTGGTCAGAAGTGGTTCTTAATAAGTAAACTGACACGACTCAAAAAACACAACTCAGTGGAATGCTATGATCTCTTTGTTTTACACATACTTTGTAAAAATTGTTACACCAAAAAGAGGCGTGACTGAAACCACATCACTAATGGTTTCCACCAGTTAGATTTTTGAGATGTTTGCATCCTGCACTTAACAATCGATAACAATAAAAAATAAATTCTCACGAATATTACCTGTTTAATACAAAACTACTTTTGTTGTAAAAAAGTGCCCTCTGACTAAAGTTAACTCACTGATCTTGAAAAGATAACTTGGTACAAAAAAATATGTACGCAAAATTTCGACACGATTGAATGGGTTTTAAGGGGATACTATTTATTTATATTTCTCAAAACATTGTAGTAAGTAGTATAAGAATAGTTGATTAAAATTTCGAATGCAGATTTTTTTTATATTATAAAATAGCTTAATTTCAGAGCTAAAAAGTACATTTTTTCCCCTGATTTACAGATTTAAATATCTTAACCATTAAGATCTACCATTTCTCGTATAAAATACTTCAATGGTATATTTATTATCCAATGGGATAGGGACTGAAAAGATATCTTTACTTACCCGAAGTGTTATTTGTAAAATAGCGGAAGACTTGAGTGGTGCAACTGAAAAGTGAATTCGGCCCTTTTTGTTCGAGGTGAAGAGATGACACTTCTTACTGGCGGGCGTAGTTCCTCGGTAATTTTCAATCTCCTTCTTGTAAAAAGCGCAGATTTCCACTTTTTCACTAGTTGCTGGCTCCCCATCTGGCTTGGTGACACTCAACTGAGAACAGTTAAAAATTACTTTTCTTATAGCACCGCATTGAGGGTTGTTAAATTAATTTGATTTATAAAGATATAATTGAATTACTGAGTTTTAATGTTTTGGCTGTATCTGAAAATTTCGTGACATAAATTTATTTAATTAGCACATTATCAAAAAGATTTAGATAGTAAACATAAGATTACAAATTTAGAACAATTTTGATTGATATATGTATGTGATGAGTCCCCAGCCCTCTCTTTATATGTTAGCTGGGGTAAGTATCTATCCCGGTACCTCTTAACCCTCCTTCCGCATAACTACTTTGACTTAAACTTGGCTCCCATTCTCTATCCACGTACACGAACTTCACTTTTTCGCTCCATCGATACCCGCTACAGTGCGCATGCTCTAGTTGTAACGCGAGTACTACTTGGGTTCTACTAATTTGGGTTCTTCTACTATTTGGGTTCTACTAATTTGGGTTCTTCTACTATTTGGGTTTTTCTACTTACCCAAATAGCAACGAGTAGTAGTTGGGTTTTTATTGGGGAAACTATTCTTTAACTGTGATTTTAGTTTAAAAACTGCTTTCCGTAGAGATAACTTGATTTTACGCAAAAGTAATTACTATTTAAATCCTGACGTTGAGAATGTGAATTTAATGGTTAATCGTTGATCGTTACGCGTGAAATCTAAGAATAAGAAAAGGTAAACAGCAACTGGGTGGTCGCGCGTCCTGAGATTAATAGTCGTCGTAGAATCTACAAGGAATTGTGGAAGTGTACAACCTTAGAACTGACCGAGATATCGGGTTTCGAGAAGGATCGTAACAAGGAACTCCAACTTAAGCTAAGTGAATTTCAGTAATCTTGTATAGCCGATTAAGTGTTGGAATTTCAGATTGCTCCCAGAGTTAAGCTATAAAGTCGTATATTTCATAAAGTGTTAGATATAATAAAAGTATCTATTTTTAAGATAATGTCTGCTTCTTCTCCGAACCCTCTTACACCTACGACTTTTGGTCCGCGACTTAGTCATGGTCTGGAGTACAGAGCGATTTATTGGTTTATTGTAATAAACTAAAATACGATCATTGACTGCGTTATTAATTAATCAAAATCAGTCAAACTCACGTCTATTAGAATTACACCAAGTCATATGTATACGTAGCTACGAATAATAAGAGGAAATATCAGTAGCATCAAAGAATGTAACACAATTTTCAGAACTTTATTGGTATATTTAATCGTAAAATAATTTCTTTTTATTATAAAAGTTTCAGAAAAAAATATGCTTCTCACATGGAGATATTACAAATTTACAGAGATACAATGGTGTTTTTTACAATAAAAAAACAGTATATATATAAGAAAAATCCAACTCTCAATAACTTTTTTAGAGAACTGCATTTTTTTAACTGACCAATCCTTTTATGAATAAAAATTATTTGAAATTTTGAAATATTTGAAAATGTAGAGTGGATCAAATATGACCCAGTAAACTACTGGCATAGCTAGTCCCAATTGGGCCCTGTATCAAAATTCCTTGGAGGCACTTCTTTGGAAATGGGAGGTTTGTTAGTGAACTATTGCTAACATTTTACGAGTTTTACTCACATATGTTGGGGCCCCAATATCTTGGGGGCCCCGTATCATAGATACGGCGGTAGCTACGCCCCTGCAGTAAACTTTTTACATGTGTCGCGTATGGCTATCTAGCTATTTTAATTACGAAGCTTTTTGAAAATAAAGGATAGTCACATAATTTTTACACTCAATAGCCCTATTATTTTTATAATT